TTTAAATTACTGTCAGTGTAAATCCATGGCTAATTCATTTCAATGTATGACAAAAACCACTGCAATGATGTAAAGTAATTAGCCTCCAACTAATAAAAATAAATGAAAAAAAAATAAATAAATTACTGTCAGACAAGTGTTACCATCCCTATTTTAAAGATAACAGAGTAAGGCTCAGAGCGGTTACACTTCTTGCCCCATGTCACACACACACAGCTCATTAGTGGTGTGGCTAAGTTTAGAACCTACCTCTAGCTAGCTCTAACTCTGAGCTCTTCCCAACATACTATCTCCAACTGTCTCATCCCTTATATTTTAGGCCCTTATAAATTTGCTTTCAGAGGGCAACAACTACAATTTGGGAGTACCCTGCTTACAACCTCACAAAATAACCAGTTTTCTGGAAGACAAGAATGCACTTTCAATGACTGATAAAACTTAAGAAATGGAAGGTCTAAAACATTGTAACCCTTCAGAGACCAACTGGACAAGACAAGACACAAAATAAGAGTAACTAGCTAGGAATAAAAAAGAGAACAATTAAGACAGTAAGAGACCTCAAGGTGAAATAACTTATTATAAATTATTTCCAAAATTAAAACAAACAGAGGAAAAGACAGAAAATACTCACTAGCTTTGGATTCTGCCAAATTTAAGTTCAGGGATCCTCACTAACAGGTCAGGATCTACTGGTCATTCTTGCCTTACCTGATAGGTCTCCAAGCTGGTTAGCCTTTCCTTGGGTTTGCCAGAATTTCCAGTAAAAAAAAAAAAAAAGAGGCAAGCAGTATAGGGACAGGCCTTAGGCCTTACCAGCAGAACTCTAACATCAGTATTGTCACTATCGCATTTCTATTCCTCAAATAATTTTTAAGTGTTGAGAAAACAGCCCCCCAGCCCCCACCCCGCAACACACAGTTAAGTGGCATTCCTCTTATGGGATGTAAATATTTCGAAGGGTTAGCCACAAGAGGGAAGAGCAGTGACTCATGGTACTTAATTCCTAAAAGAGGAAAAATCAGATTCCTTGTCCAGAATTCTTCTATCTAGAAAGATTGCAGAAATTCCTTACTCTGTAAGTAAGTAGTAGGGAGAACCTAAAGGTAAAATATAATGGGCTAGGACAACTCCACAGAAAAGTGTAACTAGGACACATGACTAGAACACTAAACAGCTTCCTGACTCTCCACAGAATATGCAGCCACTAAGCAATATTTTATGTAATATTAAACACACACTGAATTATTTTAAAAGCTCACTTAAAAAAAAAAAAAGCAGTAACTATAAATCCAGGATCATAGGTGAGATTTTAATCTTACAGATAGGAGATTACAGAGATTGATTACATTTTTACTCTGATTATTTCAGACTAGAAATAGCAAAATCCACCAATATACTGTTTTAATTCATTAAATTCTTGAACTATATATGATAATCCAGTTAAAATTTCAACATTTCAACTTTATGAATTTGCCAATAACTAGGAAATTACACTTACTTCCGAAAACTTTCATATCAAGATTTTCAGAAGTCAAACTTTATCTTTTATTAAAACATAATAAATAAGAAACTAATAAAAGACATAATAATCAATAGGTTGATTCCAGGTAGGAAAATTTGGGAGCTGAAGGCAGTGTAGGAAAGAGACTTCTGAATTTTAAATCATGTGCATTTAATACCTAATCAAAGTAATCAATTTCAACTAAAACCTAAAAATACTCAGACTACATATCACTTCTGCAGATGTGTAAGCGTTCCTCAGACATATTTCTAAAACAAGACTGCCAAATAGATTTCATGATAAATTCAGCAGAACAAGTTGCAAAAACTCATTCAGGATTTTAAAAGAAAACAAATATATAAAATCCAACCCCACATACTTTCAGTTTCACTGAAGTTGGAATATAGTATCAAAGGATTCCTATGTGGAAGACAAATTATTTTCTACTAGCTGAAAGTGGTATGTGAAATCCTAAACCCAAGATTTAAAATAAAAGCCTAAAAATGCTAATGATTTGTATTCCATCTTTAAACAGCAGACCGTTTCAGATAACATGCAAGACGACAGCATTCCATGGAAGACCCAGGCTGATTATTTCCCATTTGGGGTGTAAGCAAATCTCCTGCCTTTAAAAAGTCCTCATAAGATTTCACTCCATACTGATTGTTTCTTTCTTTTTCAAACACTGGCCATTACAACACTCAAATATATACACATTTTTAAAGGAGGTATCAAGGAAGCTTTTAAGACTAATTAACCTGTGGGCAAAGACGCAACTAAAAACCAGTTCCGACAGAATTTTTGCTTGAAAAGAATACTTTCCTATAACTTACTACCACTCAGAAGCCTAAAGTCCACCCTTTACATGAAATAAGTGATTTTATATACAGATTGAGTTAACTTGTCTTAACAGTGAGTCTCACTTCAGTTCCCTACTCTGAAAACTCTCTGATCCACTATTATGTAACTCTATCCAAGATTCTAATGCAAGAGTTACAGATCCATTAAGAGTTAGTAAAAACTCAAACGGGCACATGCATAAGCTTAGCTGTAGTTCCTTAATTACCTTGTCAAAATTATGAAACCCGCTATTTTCAAACCAACAACAACCAAACCTTTCCTATTCAAACCAGAAATAGTGACACTTTGCATACTTCGTAAAACTGTTAAAAGAGTATTCTCTTGGCTAGCTTCTGATCATTATGCAAACTGTACATTTAAAATTAATAAAAAATGCGAATTTTCAAAGAAATACTATTTTTTACATAACACTAACAAACTTTTTCTAATTTTGGTCTTTTAATTCATCTTAAGGCCATTTATTTGCCCTCCAAAAAGACCCGTAGCATTTTCCCTTAAGGCTAATCAGCAGTTCTTTTCCTCTCTGTGCCAACATAGAACAGTTTCTACTAACAGCAGCAAAGCAACAACAATTCTACAGTGAATTTGATTTACCATTTGGTTGGGTACATACTGAAATTCTGATTCACGAACATCTTAGTCAGTTTATGGATATCAATGAAAAGAAAAATGACACTGGCATGTGACTGCCAACTACTAAGTCACTTTACTTCAAAAGGAAATAGACTTTAGTAGCTAATAATTTTAAACAAATTAAGTGATCAAATATAAGTACCTCAATTAAGTTGAAAATACACACAAATGAAAAGATTCAGATTTAACACTTAAAAATACACAATCAGACTAAGTTTGGCTGAAACAGTCTGATTCACTGTTAATGTCATTAACAAATCAGTACATCTTGAAAAAGCTTACTTCTAGCAATAGAATCCTTATTATCTTAGGATTTCAACCCAATGTCATTGCTTTTAAAAAAAAGTCAACTCTACTACATACAGTGTCAATTCGGAGACTTGACTATTATTTGAATGAAACACAGGAGAACCCTGATATGCAAATACAAAAGGAAATGATGAAACTGTATTTTTAATTAAAAAAAACCTGTAAATATATCAAAGAAACATTAAAACACATTTACCAGTAATGCAGCACAAGACCTCTAACTGGCTTGAACACATCCTTTCAAGCAACGTATAGTAAACTGCTTTCACAAGGACTATCTGTAACAGTAACCAGTGAAAACCGTTTAAACTATTTTTCAATTATCATCTCCCTCTTTCATTTGTTCGGTATTTTGATCATGTACAACAAAGAAACAATTTTTAAGGAAAGAATGTATGATTTTCAAAAGGTATTTAATCTTAATTCCCTCAGCCAAAGGAGGTGTGACAACCAACGCACGTAAAATTAACCTTAATCCGCCAACGAAAACACGCAAAATGTCTCCTAACAATTCCCCTCCTCCTTAAACAACAACCGTACACATAAATATGGTATTGACCTCCACCCCCACTGAGAGCAGCTAATTAACAAACAGAATAGTTACATTTGGAGATCAAGGTGCAACACCTCATCTCCAAAACCTCCCCAAATAACATCATCAAAGTAGAACTGAACATTATTTTTGCTAAAGCAAGAACCCAACCCCCGGGAGCTTCAGCCCTTAAGACAATGGTGGTTACCAGACAGAGCTACACAGTTGGGTCCAAATGACACATTTCACTAGGCCCTGGACACAACACACACAGGCACAAACACACGCACTCTCTCCCACAGGGGTCAGCTCTAAGGAAGGGGCGTTCAGATCCCGCCGGGAGACGGAGGGGCAGCACGGTGGCGTGGGGTAATCCTAGGGGAGGACAAGCGAGAGGGGAGTCGACAGAGCGGAAGGGTAACTGCACCGCACGCGAGGGAGGGGGCTGGAAATGGCCGATGGATTCTATATTTATTTATTTAAAGGTCTTAATTTAACGGGTCCTTCCCAGGGGTTCTGTAACTAAAGCCAAACTGCGCAGCAAACATTATGAGGTTGGGAGAAGAGTCGCCGCTCCCCCTACCCCGTGACTGGGGGGGAGGGGGGGGCGGGGGAAACAAGTTCCCCGGCCAACACCACCGACCACTCCAACTCCCCCACTCCCCTCCTCCACAGGAAGGGGGAGGCTAACAGAGAAAAGGGGGAAAAACAAGTTCCCCAGCCAGCCCTAACCACCCGATCACTCCCAGTTGTCGCCCCCATCTTCCATTAGAAACAGGAGACCAAACCGTGGAAGGCAGACGAAAAAGGAGAGATCCCACCCTTCGCCTTCCCCCCACCCACCAACAGACTCCAGCGGGGTCCGTAAGGGAGCTCAAAAACCAGAGGGATGGGTCGAGGGGAGAAGGTGCCGAGCCCCCGAAACCAAACAAAGCGCGGCCTGAGCTAAGAGCCCAGGCGAGTCGGGAAGCCGCGGCTTTTCCTGCCGGCCGGGGCCCGGGCTGAGCTGACACTGCGGCACCGGGGGACCCGCCTCCGCTCGGCCTCCCTTCTCCCACCCCCCAGGCGCACAAGCCGCCCCCGCCCGCCCCGGCCTCCCTCCCCGCGGGTCTCGCCGGCCGGGCGCCCGAGCCGGCGGGCGGCAGGGAAGGAGCGCGGCCTTACCCCGCTCGCCGGCGTTGTTCCGCTCCTGGGGCAGCGGCGGAGGCGGCGGTGGCGGCGGCGGAGGCTGTTGCTGCTGCTGCGGCGGCGGCGGAGGCTGCTGCTGCGGCGGCTGCTGCTGGGGCGGCTGCGGCGGCGGCTGCTGCGGGGGCTGCTGCTGCTGTTGCTGCACCGGGCGCGGCCGCGACACTCGCCTGGGTCTCCGGTTGGCGGCTCGGACGGAGTTCATTTGCCGGGCTGAGGTGGCGGCGTTGGCGGAGGGACACACACACACACGGACCGCGAGCTACGGGGCGGGAGAAGGGGGTGGGGAGGGGGGGGAGGAAGGAAAGGGGGCGAGGGGAAGGGGAGATGGTAAGGGCGGAGGGGCGAGCGGGACCCCGAGTCAAGAGAAAGGCCCGCGAAGACAGAGACCGAGCGAGGCCAGGCGGGCGGGCCTGACGCACGGGGAAGGCCGAGGCCGCCGGGCGGGGCGGCCGCGAGGGACGGAGACAGAAAGACGGGCAGAGCGAGAGAAAGAAAGAAAGGGCGTCCGCCCGCCTGGGGATCCTGAGGCGAAGCGCGGCGTCGGCGGCTGAGGAGACAGACCCTGGTCCCGCCGACTCCCGAGCGGCGTCTCCGGCGGCGGGGGGGAGTGGGCGGGCGGGTGAGGAAGGGAGAAGGAGGAGAAGAGAGGGAGAGAAGGGAGGGAGGGAGCAGGGGGCGCCCGGCTCTTTTTTTTTTTTTTTCTCTTCCTCCCCCCCACACCCCCTGAAAGAGATTTCTGAGAGGAATTTTTTCTTTCTTCGGCCTCTTCTCTCTCCTCCCCCCCTTCTCTCCTCGGCGAAGGGGAAATGAGTGTGAAGGGAGGAGATAGGGGGAAAAAGAGGCGTCGTCGTTCCTCCTCCTTAAAGGAGCCTTTCCTCCTCCTCCTCAGCCCCGTCGCCGCTGCTTCTGCTGCTGCTCCGTGGCAGGAGGAGCCATTGACACCGCCGGAGCGACCACTCGCCCAGTCGGTCCCTCCCCGCCGCGGGGCTGGCCAGGGGCGCGGGGGAGGGCCGTAGAGCGGCGGGGGAAGGGGCAAATGGGCGGGGAAGAAGAGGGGCGGGGATTCCGGCCAAGGAGCCAATGGAAGGCGCTCATACAACCTTCGGACCAATGGGGCCTCTGCTCTTATCGCCAAGTCCCTTCCTTCAACGCCCTGTTTCCTCTCTCGGGTTTCCTCCCTCCCCCGCTAAGGAGGTGGGGGAAGGAGGAGATGGGGAGTGTGGTGGGGCGGGTGATAATGGGGAGGTATCAGGGCATATAATAGCGTGGGGGGGGGGGTGGATGAAGAGAGCGCTAGTGCGTAGCGACGATTCTAGGAGAGGAGGTGCTCGGAGGAAAGGGCGGGGGCTGCTGATGTAATGGGGAGAAGTGATTAATCCTTCGGTTCGCCGTTTCAACCTCTCCCCCCCCCCCCCCCCCCCCGATTTTTTAAGCGGAAAAGAAAAGTAGAGCGAGGTAGCCAGTCTTTGATAACTGGGTTTTTTTTGTGGTAGGTAGGTTCAAACTCTGAGCTGTAGGGAGCGCTAGAGATTCTGTACCCTTTAATTCAGCTGAGGGTATTTGCTAAACCTTGAAGATCCACTTTACCGAGCTTTGAGCTCGGGAACCGAAGTTAGAAGTCGGTTCCTACTTGTAGTCTAAAAGGAGTATCTTAAAAAGATTGTGATCAATAGGGAATAGACCTTTGGTCAGTTTACTTATTGAAGACGCGGTCTCTATAATGTTTGGGGAAATAATACGTGAGAAAAAAAGAAATAAATGTATTGAGGTTGTGATTGTTTATGTGATAAACATTTTAATTTTTTTTTTTTTTAGATCTCACAAACTCAGAGAAAAAGAAAAGCCCCAAGGGGAATTATCTTTTGTGTCTGTATCTGGTCCCCTCAAGATAATCTCTCCCCAGGGAAAACGTGTTTTTATTCCCTCGCTGCTGTTGTGATGACTGAAAAAGTATCCTTTCTCGGTTCTTTCCGCTCTCTTTTGTTTATCACCTTATGGAAATGTAAAACTGGCACTTTACCTGATTCTCTGATTTTCGATCTTCAGGTGATTTCTTTCTCATTTCAGTTTGACTAGGTGCTGTCAGGTTTGAGTTGGATGGCTAAGTGGTTACAAAGTACAATAAGAGAAGTAGGGGTAAGAGCGGGGAAGTGTGTTTTGGGAGGGGAGAGAGGAACAGTAAGAGCCACTGTTGTGTAGGGTGTTTGAGTCTCTGAGTTGATGTCTGCCTCTGGGCAAAATACGTTTCTAACTTTCAGGGTTCCCTCACTTTAAATAAGAATTTACTTTGGATTACATAATACAATTTTTAATTTTAAAACATTCTCTAATTTTGGGATGAGCTCTCTTTGGTCCTGACAATGGAGAAACTTAGATCTAAGTTTCCTGCTCGAGAAAGAAATTGAGGAGGGAGGCTTAGAATGAAGAACTGCAAATGTTTATTTATGGTGGTTAGCACGGTACAAATGGGTAAAATTTTAGATTTGGTTCAAATAAATGTAGCAGGAAAAAAGGAAAATGACATGCTATTGTACATATTATAAGTGGACCCATAACTCTGATTTTTTCTGAAAATTTACTTTTTTTTCCAGCGTGCATTTATTGCTTCCTTCTGTGTGTGCATTGCTATGTAAAGTGCTATGGGAGGTAGCAAAATATATAATAAATTGCAAAATATGGGGCATAGTTTGTATTTTGGTGTGGTGGTTGATTTAGTTAATTCAGAGGTACAGAGAAAACGTAGCTTATTCTCTGTAGCTTATCTTTTTTTTTTTCCATTTATTTTTATTAGTTGGAGGCTAATTACTTTACATCATTGCAGTGGTTTTGAGTCCCCACGTTATCCCTTTTCTTTTATAGTTAAGTACTGAATCTTACGGATTTCCCATTTCCCTGTCATTCGAAGATATACATGGGAGTTGAGGGATTCTATGTAAAGTGTACATAGACGGAATGTCACATCTTCGATAGCCTAGATTTCCAAGTTGTAATAAACTTGGAATGATAGTTCTCTGGCATGTGGCAGTAAGATGCCTTATTTTAACAAAACCAGTATATTATGATAATTTTCTGATAGGTGGAAGTAAAATGCCTTGATAGTGCCTTTTTCTAATTCACACAGTAACTAGTGGGCTGGTAGAAGCCTGTGGGATGGGAAGGTCAGCAGGGCATCAAGGAAAACCCCTGAGCCATGCATGCTAGTCCTTGTGTTGTCCTTTACTGTGGAGTGTCTGGTATAGTCTGAAAGCAGAACTGCTAGCCTCAGAGATAAAACTGCTCCTTCTGTCTTTTCGAGAAGTTGTGCTGCTTCCACACTGAACCATTTGCCTTATACACTGCAACCTCTGTCCTGACCCCAGGCCTCCGCAGGTCCATTGATTCTCATGATGCCATTCCATCTTCTCACTGAAACATGTGGGAGCTTCTGGTTTCCCAGAATATCCCATGTAGGCCTTGATGAGCCAGGAACTTTGCTTCAGGCTCATCTACTGAGCCACCTCCCTTCACTGATGTTGCATTTTTCTCCCTATGTCATGTGGAACATGCCATTAAGCTGAAAGCAGAGATCCTAGAGGACTCAGCCTCTCACAGGCATGCCGAGAGAAGCAAACCATTATCCCCATTTTTCTTGGATTTCCCCATATCTCTGTGAATACTTCAACTATATACTGCCAACTCTAGTTGCCACACTGAGAAGGGACAGGAAGTAAGCACACTGAGTCTGATTACATCTTTCTGTCCCCATTTCTTGTTTCCATGATCTCTTAGGGCTATAAGAGATGGATTTTTCTAATGTAACATTGTAAAATATGTATTTTAATAAAATAGTTTTAAAAAAGATTATTTTTATTCTTCTTGTGTGACAAGAGCTTTCCTTATGTACCACATCCTCTTCATTTTTTGTGATGACATCTACTGTGCTCCCTTTTTTGGAGCCATAATGGTGGATGGAACACAGGAGAGAAGCTAGTTTAACAATAATGGAATATCTACTGGGAGATATTAAAAAATATTATCCTATCATATCACTGGTTCCTACATATTTTTAGTTTATCTTACTTACAAAAGCATTAAACGTTAGAGACTTCTTTGTGAAGAAGTGTTCAAAACCATCTTAAGTTAAAACTTGGGAGTTTTTAGAATAGGCCTTTGAGATCATTTAATTCTCATTTTTGTATTTGCTATATAAGGAAACTAAAATTCAAAGAAATGAAGTGACAGAAGCAAATCCCATAACTACTTAGTGGCAAAGTTAATGCCTGACAGTCCAATGCCCTTTCCGTTCACAGATACTATAGACTCTGAATTCTTCCAGTGAAACCCAAAATATTCCAGATGGTTTTAGCCATCACCAGGTCCACCTGTGTTAGCAGATAATCCTGTCAGTTAGCTGCCACAGGAGGTATGTGTGAGAGAAAACAGCAGAAAAACATAAAGGAGATTTTTATTTGGGGGGTGGGGGTGGGTAGCAGTCTTCCAAATTATTTCAATATACACTTAGCATAATTTCAGAGGACTGAATTCCCTCAGGGTTTGCTCTCTCTTCAAGAATATTTGTGTTTGTTTTTCTCAACTAATTACTGGTGCTGAACAGGTTAGTGTACTTAAAATTATTTGTTTATAAAACTTATCACAATAGGAGTGTGGAAAAAATAAGCCCTTTAATCATTTTAATACCTGGCAGGTGATATTTACTGTGATTCTTAAATGATAATTTTTACCATTTCAAAGATTTCCCCTTTCCCTGTCATTCCATCATCTAGTCCTAAGCCGTCAGTACTCAAGTCAGTTACATAAGACACCTGAACACTGCTCACTCCGTTTATGTCATTTAGGAAATTAGTTTGATCTGAATATGGTTTTCCTGAAGGAATAACCAGCTCTGTTTAAAATATCCTTGTTAGAGTATGAATGACTTATCTCACTAAGCTGCAAAAATTCATTCTTTAGTACATGCTCAGATAATATTTTATCAATTAGTAAGTGAAAATTAACTTGGAACTAAGAATTTAAATTCAATGTATATGTGGGAAAACCTGGTAAG